TTATGGGTCAGAAGGATCATCATATGTGGATGACAGCAGAGTAAGGAAGAAGTTAACAGCAGCTTAAGGAATGGAAAACTTAAATTCCCTTAATCCCACCAGCCCTTCAGATAGCAAGTTGCAGTAGTGTAGACCATAAAACAGCACAAACACCCTGGGTTGCACCAGCTGCAGAAGCCCCTGCAGCTCCTGGCCAGGCAGTGCCGGAGGGTTGCCCTGCCCGCTCCCTTCCCTCACCCCTGCACAGGTCAATGCCAAAGGACACAGAGGATTTGGAAATGAGCACGTTAGCTCTTTGGCTTGTTCACACTGACTGCCTTAGGAAACTTCAGCACCTAGAAAACGTGAGTCAGTTGTTGTCAGGACACTTCCACTTTAACTGGCTGGTGGTGTGTGCTGCCTTCCTGCAGCTGAACAGCAGTGTGACAGACCTGGTCTGACTGTGACACAAGGTTAACACCTTCCCATGCACAACTTGTCCATGCTCTCTCCCCACCCCCCCTTCCCAGGGTAAATTATTTGAATGTTTTGGTAAAGAATTAGTAGGGGACTCCAGTCCAAACTGAGCAGGCAATTTCCTGATGGAGGTCTTTAGCATGCTGAGGTATAGAGAATAGGAAATCTGAAGTGGGCAAGGTGGAAATGAAGGAAGATCTTACACAAATGCTATTTTGAGTGACTGTTTCCTGAGGACTGGGGTTTCCTCTGATAAGGTCTGGTGCTGCACGCAGAGGTCAGTGGCACAGCACCAGTTTGCATAGGCAGGAAATGGGGCTGTACCCTTTTCCGTCCTGCAGATGGGATGCCTTTTTAGCTTTTAAATTTATAAAGTCCAGTTCCTCTGACTCAGTCTCTTAGCTTCTAATAGAAAATCTCCTGTCCTGGGTAGGAAGTGAGTAAGGCATTGGAGCATCTCTCTGACAAGGACAGGCTGAGAGAGTTGGGCCTGTTCAGCCTTGAGAAGAGACAACTGAGAGGGGAACTCATCAATGTCTGTCAGCAGCTGAAGGGAGGGTGTCACAGGATGGAGCCAGGCTCCTCTCAGTGGTGCCAAGCAGTAGGACTAGAGGCAACAGGCAGAAAGAAACTGATGCACAGGAAGTTCCATCTGAACCTGAGGAGGAACTCTTTTCCTGTGTAGGTGACTGCTCACAGGAACAGGTTACCCAGAGAGGCTGTGGAGTCTCCCTCACTGGAAGTATTCACAAACCATCTGGGCTCAATCCTGTGCCATATACTCTGGGATGAACCTGTTTGAGTTGGGAGGTTAGACCACTGCACCCCCTGTGGTCCTTGCCAACCTTACCCGTTCTGTGATTCTGTGAAACCTGATGATGATGAGAGCTCTGACTTGCCATAGAGGTGCCTGCAGCATCATGGGTTGCCTGGATAATCTCAGATGAGTGGCTTCGTCCACCCATATGCCCCTTGCCCTTTGGGAATAGCAGTAATGCCATTTTGTGTCTTCTGGTAAAGAAGTGGGTTGATGTGGGAGGTACAGCCAGGCACAGACTTGTGAAAGGACTCAAACACTAGTAGTCTGAGGTCCTTAACTCTCCACCTGCAGTGTGATAGGAATGAGGGCACTGATGTTTCAAGCCTGGTTTCTGCCCTGGAGTCAGATTTCCAGAAAATCAGCATCCTCCCGCTCAGCCTTGCTGTGCTGATGTCTCACTGAGGACCGTGCTGGTGCTGCAAGAATGGGTGGCTGTTCAGGATTCAGGGGTAGCTGTGAGGCTGGAATGGAGAGGTACACAGGCTGCTTCTAATTTAGCCTAGCCTCTGTTCAGGAGCATAAATGTACGCCTCACTTTTGTGTAAATACTCAGCCTTTGGGCTGATTCAGGAGAAGCTAGTTCAGGTAGCCTTTCTTATCTAGCTGTGCAAAATGAGAGCTTTAAAGAAGTCCCGGCTTTCTTTTTGAACCCCTTGTTTGTATCAGGACATACTTCTCCTTTTTGATACTCGTTAAACATTAGTGGCAGCACTGGCCTGCAGCGGAGTCACAGTGGTGGCCGACTGGGCGTGTTTACATTGCTGTGGAGGGGCAGGTAATGATTGCCAGGTGGGACCCAGGCCTGCAGAGCTCCAGGCTTTTGTTTGAATTGGCCACACTCTTCTCTTGTGGTGTTTACAGGAGTCCAGCAGCAGCAAGTCCCTGCTGCCTGTACTCGGTCCATACCCCTTTTGTCCTCGGGGATTGAAAACTCTCCTCCAGGCTGGGTGTAACCACCAGCACCTGCCTACAGGGCTGGGGTTCAGTTCAGTGCTGCAAAAGGGGCTGCTTTTTGGGAGAGATCTAATATCATCAGAGCCTACAAAGAAACCCTGACCCTTGGGCCTCTGGGACATCTTTGCCTCCTGTTTGTGCCTGTCGCCCAAGGTGCAGCCCTGTGATGAGGGAGAGCAGTACTAACTTAAACTTTCCAAATGTCCTGCAGAATGTGTGACCCAGTGTTGGAGTCAGTGCACATGTGGACATCCCATGTACTGAAGCACCAAAATCATCTAATCTCTGCTTTTGTGGAGTTGAGTGCAACATAACTTATTCAGATTTATGTGTCACAGTACAAATATTGATAAAATATGCTAGTAAGGAGTGGTTTTGCTTTCTAATCATAGAGTGATTTGGGTTGAAAGTGACCTATAGAGGACTATTCCAACCCCCCTGGTGTGGGCAGGGATGCTAATGCAGGATCTTAAATGTGGTTAGTATCACTGTGAATGTAAACTTATCTTGCTCAGAAAGGACTCTGCTGTCTAACAGATTCCTGAGAGGGTCAACTTCTGAGTGCAGAATTCAAGAAGAGAGGTGGTGATGCCAAAAAGAAAGAAAAAGAAAAAAAAAAAGAAAATCAACAGGAAAAAAGCAAGCACAGAAAGCACAGAAATGTAACTCTTCAGAGAGTTACATCCATCATTGTCCTCTGGTGTCCTGGGTGACATCCTGAGGTCCTTCACCAGCTCTATTACAGGTCCCTGATGATTGAAAACTGGATGTGTAATAAGCTATTGAAGAGGGACTTGTTGACTGGAAATCTGTTCATGTTCGGGAACCACGCTGGGAATCATTGTAGGTAGTCTGTCTGTCTGTGGGTTTTGATGGTCTCCAGCTGTGTGTCTGTTAGTCATAAACATGTTTTCTCCTCTTTCCTGTTAGCGTGGCAAGGGAGAGCATTAATGCATGGGGTGGGAAGGGAACACATACTGAGCATGCAAGCAAATGGCAAAACTGACTTTCTTTGACAGCTGCTTGCAGTGGCCTCAGGCAGTGCTTAGTGCCAGCATGGGTACAAAGTTTATAGACAGAGCTGGAAAACTATTATTTGGTTTTGTTTGCTCTGATTGTTGTATAAAATGCACTATCTTTTCAGGAGAAAGTTGAAGGATTTGGGTTTTACAAATTGGCTCACAAAACCAGTTTCTACTTGGCTTCTGGAGAGTAGAAATGGCACATCATGGTCCAGCCCAGCTCATGTTTCATGTGTTCCTGTGAGGAAGGGCAGCCATGCCCTGCCACCTCGTGGACTTCCTTGAGTTGCCCAAACACTGCCAGGCTTGCTGTGCACTGCCCACATCACCTTTGGGTGGGTGGCCTTGGTGGGCCAAAGTAGAAGTCAGACATGAAAATCAGAGAGGTATGAATTTCTTCCATCTCCTAAACGAAATGAAATCTCGGCAGTCAAGGAACACATGGCTGCTATTGAGCTGGATGCAGAGCCCTGAGCACGTGTTTTCATACGGACACATCTTGCTCTGCAGAAGCAGCGAGCCTGAATCATACAAAATAAAGGCATAGCATAGCAGCAGTGCCCAGTGGCTGCTGTCTCTGGCTGCAGGTGAACAGCTGTGTGTGACAGCCCAGGGACTGCAGGCAGGGAGTTGTTTCTCCAGAAGGTCCATGGGCCAGCACTCGGGCTCTGTGGTGTACATAGTCCTCCAGATGTGTCTGGGATTCACTTGTAGTGCTCTTGCTCCCAGTGGGTTTCTTTTCCATGTTGAGCCCCTGCAAGCACTTGGTGTTCAAGGTAAAAACCCTTGCAAGGATGGAGTGGGTGCACTCCTGAAACAAATGGAGGAGCAGCAAATTAAATAGGAGTTTAACTGATGTTTACTGGATAGTTTGCTCTAATAGATAAGAAAATGAGCCATGTCTGAGGTCTGATGTTTTTCCACTTATACAGGTGTAAATTAGAGGCACCGCTGTTGAATTAGATGTGGTGAAAGCACCACACGTGGGAGGTGAACAAAGCAGAACCACTCTCCCAGAGCTTGTCATTTGTTCCTTCTGCACTGAGCCCCAGGGGAACTTGTGCAGCTGATATGTTTGTATTTACTTGGGCAGGAGATTGTGGATGGATGAGGTTGCTCAGGGAATTGCAAGGGAAACTTGACTTTATTCTGTATTCATCCTGCCTGAATGCACAGTTCAGGGGTAGTGCTGTTTAACTGCTGGGATGCTACTGCTTTTCCCAAATCAGTGTCTGTATTTGCTGTACACAATCAAAAATAACCTGGAGAGTCTGTTTATTTTGCTCACTCCCACTGTCCTAAATTGACCTACACTTGTAGTAGGAGGCTGAAGGTTTAGCCTGCCAAGGTTGGTTTGCCTGCCTTCTGCCACAAGCACAGGTAAAAAGGGGGCCAGAAAGGAGCCCATAAATCCCTACTTGTGTGGCAGGCACATGTCTTAGTGCTGCCACCAGGCACCCAGCCTGATGGCCATCCCACTGAGAAGCACAAGGACCTGTAGCTGCACAAGCTGAGGCTGCCCCTGAAGTTTCCTTCTCTCTGAATCCAAGCTGAGGAAACCTGACAGGGCTGTACTGGGTTGAAGGGATGTTTTTGCTATGCCTGTCCATGCACACACCTCTGGGGACAGCACAGGGCACCACTAGAAACTACCCGCGATGGCCAAGGACTACTCGATTGAAGGAGTGAAGTCCCCCTGTGGTTCCCTCCTCCCCTAACACTCTGCTATCACCTTTGTGCTTTTCCAGGCTGCTGCCTGCCCTTGGCTGATGAACCCACCTCCCCCAAGAAGGCGAAGAGCATCCCTGGGTGCTGCGGCTCGGAGAGCTGGTTCTCACCCCCTTCCACCAGGTGTTCTGCCATAAGGATCATCCCCGAGGAGGAGATGACTGAACATAACTTTCTTGCCATCCGAGTCATGGTCACCAGTGATGCAAGCAGGTACTTTAAAATATGAGTAAGCCTATAGAAAACCCAGTTTGATTTTTGTCTGGACTGGTAAAGGAAAGTATGACAAAACATAGTACTGTGTGTGTGTACAACTGTGGGGGGAAAGAAAAAAAGAAAAAGACAAACTGCTCAGAATAACAATTGTTCTTAACCACAGCCATAAATCCCCCCAGGCACATGACTCACTTTGCAGGAAATCTTCAAACATTCACATCCCTCACAGGGGCCTGAATCAGAGGGAAAAACGTTGCCCTGATCAGCCTGGGTTCAGCTCTTGGAACAGACATTTTTTGGGACACAGGGATTAAGACAGTGGGTGTGTTGTGGCAAAAGGTGCATCCTGTGACGTAGCCACCTCCCATCTTGGGCACCATCCTGCAGCTCTACACCCTGGGCCTCTTCTGGGACATTTGAGAGCCTGCCCACCCCTAAGAAATTGGATGGTCCTTGAGGAGTTGTCAGAGGAAGCGCAATTTCTGCATGCACATCAGAACATATTTGCTCTCTGGGCAGGATTCTGTGGGATTTCATTCTGCCTAAAGATTAGATGAATATCTCCTGAGTAAAGAAGCTTTCCTTACTGAGAACTAAAAAAATAAAGGGGGAGGAAGGAAAAACAAAAAGAAAAGAAGGCAAAACTGAAGCCAACTGTTGCAAACACTATTGCTCTGTAGGGAAGCTCATTCAGATTCCTGACATCCTTTAAACACCTGTTTGTGGTGCTGTGTAGATTGTGGAGAGCAACGCTCTGAGAAATGCAACTTTCTGCTGTTCTCTGCAGTGGTTTGTGCTCCACACATGGGTCTGGGTGCTCTTACAGGGAAGGATGAGAACCTATCAAGGGCTCCTCTCCCATGAGGAAATGGAGAACACAGGGAAGGGTTTACTACCTCTTTGACAGTCCCCCCCGCTTCCCCCCTCCAGAGCATGTGCTTGTATTCCTCCCTAATACCCTCCTGCTCGTGGTGGCGCCCGGGCAGTGATGAGAGCCGGCTAATCCCTCTGATCTGAGGGATCAGCTCCTTTCCCTGCAGCAGCCCCCGTGGCTGGACGACAAGGCCCCTGGTTCTCTGCCAGCAGGACATGGCATGAGGAGCGACGCTGCATCTGTCACCAGCGTGGCGAGTGCCAGGGCTGCGAGGTCAGGCTCCTGCTCCTCCTTCCCCTCGTGCTGCTCCTGCAAACCAGCCCCTGCCTAAAAACGGGGGACAAGAGAAATAGGAAGTGACAAATGGCACTGCTGGGCTGTGTCCACGGGGAACTCAGTGGGACTGGGAAAACGACCAGCTCGGTGACACAGCTTTGCAGTTCAGGGCTTTAGGTACCGTGAATAATAACTACCTACCAAGCAGAGATCAGAGGAGAAGCTTCATGCTGGAGCATTTACCTCCTTACTGGCCAAGGAAAATAAACCTTTTGCTCTTTAAAACAGAAAGATATCAATCAATGTTGATGGCAGGGCTTTTTCTTTGGTATGGCACTCTGCCTGATCTCAGTGTGGTATCTCCCCATCCACACAGGGACTCGGCTATCAAAGCCTTCATATATTTAGATTTTTATATGTGTATATATATATGTTTGACGCTGCTTGAAAGTCACCTTAAAAAGTATGTTTTAGTGGTGAAATATCAGGCCACTCTGATTCAGCCTGCCGAGAGCTGAACACCTGGAGCAATGTTCCCATCCCTGCTGTCTTGCCCACCCTAGCCTCCCAGTACTGTTGGTTTGATCAGAGTGCAGGGATGGTGAGTGCTACCTGGATGTATGGCTTTTAGCCTGGCTTTGCATGGTCTGCAGCCTGTCCTTTACCTCCTCTTCCTCCAGGCTCTGCAAGCAATGCTGTATAAGCACAAAGCAGCATTCTCCTGCCACGCCAACAGGATTGCTCATGGTGTGAGCTCCTCTTTTTTTTTTAAGGCAGAACTATTAATCATTACAGTAAATCTATGAATTAGGTTAGTAGTATTGTTTGCATTAAAAATAGGCTGAGTGGGATCATGCTGGTGGTGAGAATGTGGTCACATCAGAAGGGCTGACAGTATCTGTTCCCTGCAGCCTGGACTGCAGAGATGAAAGAAATGGCATGATTATTGGGAAAAGGGCTAATAATCACCTCAAGCTGTCATTCTGCCATGAGGCAAGGTCATGATGTGTGTACCATTCACATGTGTTTGTGTGGCATATTTTTAATTACATTTAAAGCAAGGGATGCCATAATCTGCCCCTGTGATCGGCTTGGGTGCCTCCCTGAGCTTGTTGTTACATGGGCTGTCCCAGTGGCTTCTAGGAACGAGGAGAGTTTATTTTTTTATTTCCTGTAGACACCTTTTGCATGTTTGAAGGCTGCTCATGCGGCTTCACTCAGTCCTCTCTCTCTGACTAATGCTTACAACTTTCTCCAACTTCTTGACTAAACCTTGTTTGCTGGGCCCACAGCTGTCCTCACACCTCTCCTCCTGGCTCCTTCCTCCTCTTGAATTCCTTATGGATACCTCTTACTTCCAAAAATCTGTGCAAAAAATGTGAGAAGTGTAGAGTTTTGACCCTCATGCCTTGTTTCCAGGCCAGTTGTGGCATTGCTGTTTCCCTTACTTCATCTTGTTGTACAGTCTTGCAGGCAAGTTGTACAGTCCCTGCTAAGCAAGCAGTGGGATGTTTCACCCCAAGTCTCTCTCAGTGGCACTTTGACTCCAGATGCTGGTTGTGGGTGCAAATGCAAAGTCTGATGGGAATAGGGGTAGCTCACCTACAGCAAATTACAGTCCTGTAACGAGGATGATGAAAGAGGGAAAATGAGGGCAGCGGGTCTGGCTGCCAAACACCTATTTCTCTGAGACACCCACACTGCTGTCAGTGCTGATGCCAGTGCTTATTGCACTGCAGGGGAATAACTCTGTGCCATATACCTCCTGAAATGTCCCACTTTCTTTCTATCTTGCCCTTTTTCCCGGTAGCTCTGAGCTGGAGTCTGATTTCAACGGTGACTCATCGAACTCTGAAGTGAGTGAAGGACAGACCACGCTGCTGGACCCCCCCGCCTGCTCGAGCCCCATCCAGAGGTGGGCATCGCTCATCAGGAGCCCTGTGGTGCCAGAGGAAAGCTCCAAAACATCCAAAGTTGCTGATGGTAAGCAGCATCCTGACCTGATGCTCCTGATGTATTCTAAGGGCTTCAAGCAGGGTTGGGGGAGAGGTTTCAAAGCAGAGGATGCTCCCTGTAGTGTTAGTTCCCACTAACAGGTTGTACCTGTTAGTGGTGTCTTTGTTTGGGGTGTTTCTGCCTTTCTGGTGCTGTAACTGAAACACCATTTCTGTGAGGCAGGGTAACCTGGAGTAGTTGTGCCTCATATTTATCTCTCAGGGGTGGGATGAATGTTTTCCCACAGGTAAAAAGTTTGGATGTTCTTAGTAGTCAATGAAATGTCTAGGCAGCGTTGCCTGGGCAAGGGTGATGTTGGGAAGCACTAGAGAGCTCTGCTTCGTGCAAGTTGTGTTTCTACCAGTATCTGCTTAAAATCTTTTTTTATCCAGTGAAAACACAAGAAGGAAATGATATTAGCCAGCAGGGAGGTATGGAAAGGTTTAGGAACTCATTTCTGAACCCAGTCAGAACTAAAAGATGTGCTAAAAACAGCCAAAGAAGTTGTTTTGCAGAAAATATAAGACCATCAGCATTCATTTCTTCCCATCTCCCCCCACCCACCCCCACATCCATATATGCATTTTTAATACAAACAGAAAAGAGGGGGTTTTATACAGCAATTTGAATTGACTCTTGAATAATGAGGCCCTTGTTTAGGGCAAAAGGACAGCTGCAGACCCCAAAGAGTTCCCAGCAGCATGTGACCCATATCACTGAAGGGGTTTATCCTTTTTCTTCCCCAGTTTCATGCTGTCCCCCACCCCTGGCTGCTAAAGTCATCTTCCTACCACCATCACTTTCCTCCCCGCCATGCCAGCCGGGTTATCCAGATCTTCCTGAGCAGCCTGTTTTGGCTCTGCATCCTCACCCAGCTGGGTGCACCCAGCGCATTTCCACCCCCCCGCTCCGCGTTCAGTCTGCCCCCTCCCCCGTCCGTCTGTCTGTCCGTCCTTCTCGTGTCGGCTGCTCGGAGAAAAGAGCCGGTGTCGATTTGGGGATAAGTGAGAAGGTTCCTGAGCTCTCCCACCGGGAGCTGCTCCCGGCATCCCGCGGCGTGCGCGCGCTGCCCTCTCCCGGCCGCGCTGCGGGGCCGGGGCCGCTGGAGGCTGCTTGGAAAACTGACCCCCGGTGCCAGAGGTTTGGGGTTTTTTTTCCTCTACTTTTATTTTTTAACATCTCCATTTTCGGTCTTCGACTTTTGCTGCATTAGCTGAACCTGTGTCCTTTCTGTTTCTCTTCAGCACTCCAGAGAGCCAACAGCTTTCACTCCACAGCCTTAAATAAGTGTCAGAATTGGAGAAGAAAACTCCAGACAAGTGAGTAAAGCCCGAGAAGTGATTGTATTTTTTATTCATGCTGGTTTTGATATTTCTGTTTCTTAATTATCTGGTTCCCCTTCTTTCCTTTACAAGTTTTGTATTTTTGAGTCTCTAGATGAGAAAACAGAGATCTAAAACACATCAAATAGTTCTTTTCCGTTTTCTCATCCTTGAAAGATCGAATTCCCCTTCTGTGTGACTGTCCTCTATGTAATTACATCCATCAGTGAGTGGTGTCCTCTTTAATTCTCCAGATGAGAGCATGCACTCTTATCCCAGAGCTGCATATTTTGTCTCTAGCCCTGCCCACACCAATTGCTTTTGATCAGGTGCAACACCGGGTCTAACATCATGTCACGTATTAGAAATGCTGCTGGAGGTGCCTGTTTGCATCCTTCCACAGGTGCTCTGTCACCTCTTTTCTGTTGGGGATAAAAAAAACCAGGTAATATCTCTGGGTTTCTGAGAGGGAGAAAGCCAACAGCTGTCCCAAGAGGTGAGCTGGTGAAAACAGGTGTTATTGGTTCTTGTCCTCCAGCAGTTTCCCTTGGTTTGGGCTGACCTGTCTTTGCCCATGGGAATCACACAGGAATGTAGTGACTTTGACAGACTGGCTGTGTTCTCTACTCACTTCTGAAACAGTGTAGTCACCCCTCACAGCTGAGGCTGCATCTAGGTAACCTTTCTCTTGGGCTAGAGTCCCCAGACAAGCCAGCCACCCTTAGTCACATCCTTGCTGCTTGGAACTGTGTTGCCCATCCCCCTTCAGCACAGCCCCTTGGCAAGTGCACACACTTTCATCCCGGGATCCCACTGAGGACTGGCAGGTACCTGCCAGGATTGACCTCACCAGTACTGGGGTTGGGTGAGCTTACCAGCATCCCAAACCCTCTCAAAGCTTTGTTAGAAATGCAGTTGTAGACTGGGGTGTTGACAATCCTAAGTGTGAAACGTGAATGTACAGCAGCAGAAAGAAGGGCTTTGTGGACGTGACCAGGTGCCACAGTTTCTGGATGTGGAAACAGTGGGTTTTGGGGAATGGTGGTGACAGCTGCTCTTTACCCTGCCCTAAGCTTCCCTCTGCAACAAGGGAGATTTCTGCTGCCACTTGGAGTCCCAATTACCTTCAGAGAAGTTATGTTTCTGCTTCTGAAACAAGTAGGACCCCTGTGCCCATTATAGTACCAGTGCTCAAGCAGAGGCATTTTGACTTGCTTGCTTTGAGTGCCCAAGAAAGCTTCAAAATCATTTGCAGGTGCCCACTGTGGGATGAATTTTTAGATCCCAAAAGCACCTAGCACTATCACTACCCTCCCTCAGCCCCTTGGAGCCCCCGATGCCACAAGTCTGGGATAACTCAGGAAATCTCAGTAGAGTATCTACAGGGCTATTTCATGGTCCTGAGGGAAGGCTCCACCAAGCTCAGCTTCAGCAAACCCTTCCCTCCCTCTGGTCTATCCCCAGAGAAGTAGTTGTGGCAGATGGACAAGCAGACAGGTATGATGGGGCTGTGTTCCCTGGAATTCACTGCACTTCCAAAGCATGAGGCCTTGCTGTGCTCTGAGAGGCTGCACGGGGTGTACCACCCAGGGGAAGGCTCTGCCATGCCTAGGATGGGAAGGCGGAGCAGGTTGTCCTCCAAGTCCCATGGCATCTGTGTCAGCCTTGGCTCTGCCTCTGAACATTTGGGGTTTGGCATATACACCAGTTTGGCTCCACCAAAGGATTAGACTTAAAACCTTGCCTTAATTGATCTCAGTTGTTGAAAGCTCAATCAAAAATTATGCTTATTCCAGATTTGAGGTGGGGGTAAGAAAGACAGAGAGGAAAGAGAATATTGGGGGTGAAGGGGGGCATCCCTCTTAACTAATTTTCAGCTTGTTCTCAGCAAGTACATTACTTAATGGTTTGCCAATTAATTTTCCCATCATTTTGTTAAAAATCTTCCGCGTGCCTCAAGGGCTCTAGAGGGAGCTAGAAGCCTTTGAGAGGGTTGTGCTGCATGAATCTGCCTGAACCTCAAGTACGCTGTTAAAATGAGGTGTAAAGCACAGTCAGCGTACAGTGGGAACAGAATAAAGGCATTTTTTAGTCTCTGGAGGAACACTAAGTCATAGTTTCTATATTTAATCCAATTTGATTACAGGAATTTTATATGATCATCAGTCACAGGGAAAAAAATCTGTCTCCTTTTCAGACATATTTCCCAAAACACATATGTTTCATAAACAGCGCAGGGTACAGGGCCAAGAAAAGGAAATCAGTGTCACAGCTATATTGGCTGAAAGGCTCAGAGCAGGATATTACCTTTCAAAACCTTTAATCCCCATCGCCTGGCCACAGGGAACACTGTGCTCTTAATTTATCTTGGGATTTTGGGCCAAGCAGATCATGATAGTGCCCTAGGGAACTTTTTTTTTTTTTAAATCCTGTTTTGAAAGTGAAGCTGAAAATGTAGGTTCAGCGTGTTGGTGGGAATAAAACCATTATCCCTGTGACAGGAGGCAAGCTGTGGCTGCGTGTGGAGCAACGATCTCGTGTGTGCAGGCCCTGTCCTTGTGAGCTAATGCATGCCCACGAGAGCTGGAGTGGGAAGCAGTTCTCCCCATGGGCGTGTGCCCTTACCCTGCAGACCCCTGGGCTGGGGGGGTTATGTCCCTGTGGGAGCTGTGGCTGTCGCTGCTGCAGCGGTTGCGTTTCCCCTCTGTGTGCTGAACCATGATATTTGCTCATGTCAGGAGGCTCAGGGCTTAGGCGGATCAGGCTAAACCCCCCTGGCTCACTTATGCAGGTGGTGGTATTTTTTTTTAATCCTAATTCTGGATTCTCATGTTTTCCCGTGGCTCAATTCACTTTATAAAGGTCAGCCCCTGGCTGCTGTCCCTGCAGCAGTTCCTTGACGAACTCCAACACATTGTTTCCCTCCAGTCTTGATTGAACATAACCAGTTGCATCAAGATTGGGTACAAATAGGTGAGACACTGACAGGAAAGAAGACTTGGCCTCTCTCCCTGGCTTGCTTTTGCTGAAGTTCACATGCAGGAACTGTCCTCTCTCCCTGGAGTCTCGTTTGTGTCCTTATTTAGTTGTTAATCCCTATGTAGAAGAACCAAAGTTTGGTTTGGGAACCTGCATGGATTTCAGAACTAATAGGTGGGTTTGGCAGTTAATAATTCAGCTATAAATATGCTTGTCATCTTATAGCTTGACATGGTAATATCTTGGCTCAGGGGTACTTCCATTTGTCCAAAGATTATTTATTGTGTAAAATTCCCACAGGCACAAATATTGGAAAGTTCCCCTGACTCCCTTCAGATGCAAGTTGCCTCCCTACTTTCCCTTTCAGCAGTTCAATGTATGTTTGTACTAGTTTTGGTTCAAGGCCTTTAGTAATTAGTTACCTTGCCTGATCCTAGGAGAGCCCCCTACATGCTGCCTGTTTTCCTGGCTTGGGAGACTGTTTGGGATTATTTCTGTACTTATTGCCTGCAGATGGATGCATTTCCCATTTTTCTTTTTTCCATTCCGATTAACAACCCTCTCAGAGGTCACTGACTTTGTTCATTTCTCAGAACTACCCAAAGTTCAAAAGTCACAGGTTGTTTTGACTGCCTCTGCTTCTGAGCCCTGAAAACCCTCTAAAGGGGGCTGGTTTTCCAGAAAGTTTCCTGGAACTCAAAAGCTGCTTCACTACATCCAGCCAAAAAGTGGAAGCAGTTCAAGTCCACCGCTGGAAATATCGACACGTGTTTGGCACAGCATGCACACACAGAGTGAGGCCATAAACTTCAATACTGTAGGTCACTTCTTTGGGTTCAGCTGTATCCAGGTGACTGTTTCATTTTCTAGTCTCGTTCTTTAATTGCGAACTTTATTTAAGACAAAATCAATAGCAATGTGACTGTAAAATTTGTGTATTTGACAGGCTTTCCTCTGCTGTCCAGCAAGAAACCTGGGCTACACTGGAAGGACAGCTCAGGCAGCTGTCAGAGCGGTCCTGGAGAGGGTCATTCCCAAACACAGGTATGAAGGAGACTTGTGCAGAGCAGAGTGAGTGTAACTACTGTTGGGGCATGTCTGCTCTTGGCAGACTATCTGGGCATCCTCTGCTCTTTCAAATAGTTTTAGTCCTTCCAGTAACCACTGAAGTTGGAGTTATGCTTGTGCTGTACAGAGGGAGGAGAACTTTGATATGATCATTCCCAAATCAAGCGTCTAAGTTGCGTTTGCTGTGGGACTCAGACCTCGACTACATGAAGACTTTTAGGCACTAATCTGTGGCATCAGTCATGAAATCATAGAGTGGTTTATGTTGGAAAAGACCTCTAAGATCATTGAGTCCAACCATTAACCCAGCCGTGACAGGTCCAACACTAAACCATGTCCCCAAGTGCCACATCTACGTGTCTTTTAAGTACCTCCAAAGATGATGACTACACCGCTTCCCTGGGCAGCCTGTTCCAGTGCTTCACGACCGTTTCAGTGAAGAAATTTTTCCAAATATACAATCTAAACCTCTCCTGGCACAACTTGAGACTGTTTCCTCTCATCCTGTCACTTCTTACATGGGAGTAGAGACCATTCCTCACCTCACTACAAGCTCCTTTTGGGTAGTTGTGGAGAACATTGAAGTCTCCACCAGATCTTCTTTACTCCAGGCTATACACCCCCAGCTCCTTCAGCTGTTCCTTAGTCCTACACTCCAGAACCTTCACCAGCTCTGTTGCTCTTCTCTGGACATGCTCCAGCACCAAAATATCTTTCCTGTAGTGAGTTGCCCAAAACTGAACACAGTAGGTAGGCACTGCCACCCTGCCCTTCCCTCACAATGTAGGGCTTAGCTGCCACTGGGATTTCCTTTGTGCTTCTACCCAAAGGAGAGGAAATCCCTGAAAGCTCTGTCCCATGCTCCTCTCAAGCTGACTGTTGATCTCTCCATGTGCTCATGGGGCTGGATGGAAACGTGTGGCACGTTGGGCAGGGCCATGTGCCAGCAGCAATGGACGGGGTGGGAGGGTATCACATCTGAGTGGCTGAAATGCCCCTTGATCACTGGGCAAAAGCCAAGTCCCAGCTGTGACCTTGGAGAGCAAATGTGGGAGCCGAGGTAAGGGCTTGCATGGTGCCAGCCATGGAAGACCTGGCATAGGAGATGAGGGATTTCTGCTGTTAGAGCCTTTAGACATAGGTGTCCCATGTCTAATGTTTTGCCCTTGCCTCCAGTGGGCAGAAGATTTCTAAACTTGCAGCAGGCCCTGGGCTCCACACCTCCCACGGCTCAGGAGCATCTTCTGCTTCCTTCAGGACCTAGGATTTCCATTGTCTTTTAGGGGATTTTAATTTATTTTTTTTTTTAAGACTGAGGAAGGGTGGACCTGCCCTAAGTGCAGCACTGCAGCAGGAGTCATGACCGACCATCCTGAGCAAAGGGCAGCACGTCCCTGGACTTGGAGCCAGGTGGAGTGGGGGCCAGCCCACATCCTCTGTGCCCTAGCCAGTTGTCCTCACCCTTGGGTTAAACATGATTAATATTGCTTGACCTCAGGGCCTGTGTTAGGAAAAAAAATCAACTCTTCCACATCCATGGTGGTAGTTGAAATCCGGTGCAGGACAATGGGGCCAGGAAGGGAATGTCCCAGGGGAGCAGAGCTGCACAATGCTGCCTGGCCACTCTGTGCACAAGGAGAGGTGACTCCATGCAGGTCCTGTTCTACAAGCAGTGCTTAGTGGCCTTTTTCTTAAAGAGTAAGGATTAAGAGGGTGTTCATTTGTTTGTTGGTGTTTCTTACGCTTTTCTATCCGAGATCCTGGCCAGTAATAACTTTAGTCTTCAAATACAACTGTGAAATGGAGAGGAATCATTACTGCTTTAGTTCTGGTGCTTATGGGAAATGAAAAGCCAGACAGATTAATGGCTTCACCCATGTGAATTTGGGTATCTGGCATGTAAATGGAAACAGGAATTGAATCTTCACGCCATCCATTATCATGTAGCACTGATGATAAAATGCCTCCCTTTTAAAAGGAAGAAAGAACTCAAGTTTTGGTCTGCTTGCTAGATAATGTGGGTATTTATCCTTGTTACGATCTTCAGCAGAAGATTTTGGTGGCTGAAGTAATGAATTTAAACATTTACCAAAGGAAAAATATCATGAGAGAGAACTAACTGAATTGTTTAAAACTACCATCTTGCATTTTATAGTCTTTTTTGGGTCACTTCTTTAATTTCTACCTCTGCTATGTAAGCATGCAGTATTATAAAAGCATTTGGAGAGGATGGATGATGGTCTCTTGTGCTTGCTCAGAACTCTAAGGTGATGCAACTGGAACACACACAGGAGAAGAGAGCAGATCTGCTCCTCTCTGTTTTCCTGGAGATAGGATTGTTTCTTTCTAAGGAAAATATTAAAGGCAATTCATAAAGATATGACAGATTCTTAGCATGAATGACATTATTTTTAGACTATTAAAATCTCCAGTAATATTAGATCTCCACTCCTAGAGAAATATTAGCCCTTTAGGAAGAAAAGCTGTTCTTAATTTATTGTCATCTACATATGTTTGTGTGTATAAATTAAATATTATGTTTATTATTATTATGCTAGGATTAAAATGGATTAAAATATTATATGAAATAAAAGATACACAAGGCAGTATTTTTCTATCACTAAAATAATCTTTTTTTTTCATGCACATCACAGTCGGCTTCTTACAATAGACCACCAGAAACTACAAGAGGACATTTGAAACCCTACAGCCCAGTATTTCAAAGAAAAGAAAAAGCCAGAGAGATGCCTGAAGACACATATTGCTATGTCCCTCATTGTTCTTTTCAGAGCAGCACCACGGGTTCTCCAAGGACCTCTCCTGGAAATGGGAAACTGGTTGTTGATTTTTACGAGCCTGAAGATACAGATAGTGACTCTGGGACATACTCAGCCCAGGACTGGAAGGAAAAAACGTGGAAACATATCTCTGAACCAGAAGATTTTAATAAGAAGACAAAAGAGCTGTTATCTCTGGATTTGAAAGGAAAAGATGGCAAAAATACCAAGCACCCAGAAGAAAAGCCTGAGCAAGAATTAAAGGAGGCAAAAAAGAGGCTGGGGCTTTGTACTCGACAGCAACCCTTGTTTGACTCAAAGAGAACAGACTTAGGTGGAACCAGGGCAGGGTATCAAAACAGTGGAGCCCTGTGGACTACGGAGAAGAAGGATGATGACTGCAGAAAAAATGTGTTCAAACGATCTGGTTGTCCTGTGCCTCTTGAAATTGCAGATGATGCTCTGCCAGCTTTGCCAGTTGACACAAAAGAGGCTCTGAGGAGTCTGGATGCAGTTTCCAGGCAGCACACAGCCAGCCAGCCAAAATCACCACTGCGGATCATTGCCAATGCTATCAAAAGGTCCATTTTGGAGCCTCTAACCTCAACTCCAGGAGGACTGAAGCAGCACTCAGAGAGCAAAACCAAAGCCTCTTCAGAACAAGCTTTCTTCAGCTTCCCCAGTGCTCCTGGTTATTCCCTAAGCCAAAGGAACACTAACAACAATAACACTCAGATACAGGATCCTAAAGTAGGGGAGTGGGCAGAAGAATATTTAGGAGATGGAAGTGCTTTCTCAAATCCATCTAATTTTTCTGTCAGCTCCAAAGAGATATCTCTAAGGGATTACAGTGAACAGGTATCCCTCACATCCTCCAGTCCTCACATCAGGCTTCCCAACACAACCAGTATACCTCAGAAATCATCTTGCACTAGGATGGAGGATGTCCCGGGACTCCTAGAAAAGTTTACCTTTAAAGACACTCCTCCAGGGACTCCCATGGATGACACGTGTATCCGTAAGGAAAAATCCACTCTTCTTTCATCTCCAAAGCCCAAGAACACCTCCAAGGACAATCTGGATGACTCTGCACAAAAAGGTAGCCTTGGATTGCTCTTCAGTAGACTGAGAAGTAAAGCTCATGAAAGAGAAGGGAATTCCTTGATGTCATCTCTGCTTTTCCCGAAGGACCATTCTCCAGACGACAGGTTGTGCTACCCTTCCACAGGTGAGGACCTGAGTGGAATTATTTTGTTGCTGCTATTATTATCGTTATTATTGTTGTTATTATTATTGTGTAATAGCACTTAACCTTTAAAAGACCTGTGCGTGATCATGCAAACACATATCTGTTGTATGTTATGTTTAATTTGTAGTTACTTTCTACATAAGAAGACTTAATAAATATAGTGTAATAAGCACCTTATTGACCCACGGTGACCTATTTGAAAGTCTATCTGGGCAGTGATTAAAAGGCATCAATTTTCATGTTTGCTTGCAAGAACAAGGTTAGTATTAAAATTGCAGGCAAGTCCAAGAAATGTTGATGTCAGACAAAGAGCAGTCTGAGTAATGTGAGCATAGGCTCAAAAAGAATTAGCTGCAGCACAGTTCTAGGGATGAAATACGAGGCATGAGAGCTGCACCCACCTGTCTTTCTCTGTGATCCATCTTTCCACGAGCCCACTGCAGAAAGACTCAGTTATTTAACTGAATAACCTATTGAATTTTGTTGGCATACCTGTTTGTTTCTTACTTTATTAAATTGCAACCCCAAATATAACCCCAAACTGCAGCATTAAAATCTGTATGTAAAATGTGAAGTCACTGAAATGTACCAACTGAGCTGCCAGACCCTTTTGCATCCCTTCTGCTTCAGAACTGCTGCATAACTGTGAGGAAGAGAGACAGCATGTAAGAGACTTGATCTGAAGCTCATTAAAATTGATAGAATAACTCCTGCTCTCATTCCTGAATTTTTGGGTTGGACTTTGGAGCATGCTTTATCTAACAGCTCACAAAACCAGGCATCCCCATTGAGCCAGAAGTTGCTGAGGACTGCACTGAAGCCACAGAGAGTTGCTATTCACACTTGTAAAGCTGTGGCCCTTAATTGGAAGCTTTTTTGGAGTTTATACCTGGTCATCACCCATCAACTGAGCCAAGCTGACTTGCTCTTAACAAAATGTGTTACAATAATTGGTATGCTGTGGTCCTGCTAAAATGGGAAAAGTTCTTGTTAGGTATGAATAATGCTTTACTTTATTTATGTTTTAAATATTTTGGGAAAACACGGTGGTTTGATATGTGTTGCATTCCTCTGCTATGCAAGCCAAATGAGGATTCTTAAATTGTTACAGTTATTGACTATAACCATTGAAAAGTCTGTTTAGATTAAAAAAAAAAAAAAGTTAAGCTCTGATCTAACCATTCCCCAGTAATCTGTCGTTTTCAACATTTCAACATTGCAGCTCCCTGAATTTTTTCAAAATTCATATTTGAGTAAATCGAACTGGTGAAGAGCCAAGTCCTACTTGGCTCTCTAAAATGACATTTCTGTCTCATATTGGCACTTGTCTGAGGCCCAGACTTGCCAAACTTCAGTCTGATGACAAGCTTTAGCCTACATTTCATGTCATTATTTTTCTCTCTTGAAATTTACCACAAATCACAGAAAACTTCTTTAATGAAAAGAAAGTATTCCCAGCACCTTGCAGAGAGCAATTTAATGAGACTCTTTCTCATACTTCTCTTGGCTCTTTATAGTGGGACTTTTCTATCCTGTTTGAGGCCAAACTGTTTTTGTGCAAGTATGGTTGGTATTACATTACACTGGTGTTTTCTCCCTCAGTGGCTTGTGGAGCCAAAGAATGAGCTGGATGATAAAAGTCCTTGGGCTTGAGATGAGACTGGGCAAGCTCACTGCAGAGAAATCCCCTGAGGAGTAACCAAATACTTAGAAACCAATATTCCAATATTGAACACTCTTGAACTGAAAAATCTTTGGAGGCCGGGCGAGTGTTGAGGGGAGGAATCACATGCCTGTAGCGTTCCTTTAGACATACAGTGCTGGAAACAGATTGGAAGGACCTTCTAGTCTCACCCTACACCTCTACTCCTGTGCTATGTGGATCATCTTTCCTTACACCTCGTCTTACTTCAGCTGCAAACACACATCCAGATGTCTTTCCTATGCTGATGACCCAGGTGTCTGTCCAAACTAAAACTATGTTCTGTCCTTCTGTCCTCTCCTGCCAAGTGTTCAGCCCCCAGCTGAAGCTCAGCATGAAGAATCATGAGATCCTAGCAGCAGATTGCCTGTCATTCAAACTTACACCTGCAGTTGCACCTTCCTTGTGGATCATACCAGTTTTTTATGTCCAGACCTGCTTTGAAGGCTTTCTGCCTAACACTATCCCTCTGTTTCATAAGAACTAGTCCTTATAGCTCCTTGGAAATTTTGGGCCATGCAAAGATCCAGGTGGACAGACTGCTTGTGTGAGACCTAGACAAAGCTTACTGAAGCAATGGGGGTTCGTGCACACTTTTCAGTGAGAGACTGGCTTAAAAAAAAAAAAAAATCCAAAATTTGCTGTAGAATATACAACTGTGCAAATAACCACACTGGAGTTCCTAAGTGCACTTCCAGATTTTTGATATCTTTGAGGCTTTTGTCTTTTGATTCTGCCTTTGTGTTTCAAACTGCAGTGAACACCTCCCAAAAAATTGGTCAATAAAAGTGTTCAATCAGATGATTAACTGTTCTCTCCTAAGCCTAGTTCCCCTTTAGAAATTCAAAAAAATGCCAAAGTTCCATATTAATTACTGGTACGAAAAGTCATTAGTACAACAGGAGAACAAAAGTAAAAAGAGATTTAAGCCAGGTTGTGTGAGCGTAGCAGTCAGCAGTGTTTGTAGGGAGATGAAGTGGTGGATCCAGGGATTACTTTTGATGTACAGACAGGCCTTCTGAAGACCATCCCTGAGGGTGGTTGTTTGTCAGCAGATGTGTGTGACTCTGGATTTGCTTCTTGATAGAGATGGAGACATGGGAGGAGTATTTCTGTCCCTGACAAAGTAGGGATCATGTGAAAACATTCCTAGAATTGTCCCTTACATGAGACGAGAGTTGTTATAACTCAGTGTGTATAAGTTGTTTACATGGCACATATCATTAAGCAGGACAACCAATTCATCTGATAAGAAAATTTAGCATGAATTCACTTTGCTGATTTTGTGATTGAAAAAGGGATTTTAGATTGAAAAGGGATTGCTTGCAGATATTTCAGGTTCCTGTTATTGCATCTTTGTACCACAGAAAGTCTGTGTGTTTGCAGTGCTCTGGTCAGCAAGGACACTGCTTTCACAGTGCTTTTGTATTTTAGCATGGGAACTGAGGCAGTAGAAGATGAAATTTCATGTCTAAAACCACATGAGAAATCTGTAGAGAAGCAGAGATGTGAAGTGAAATAACCAAGCCCTCTCTTGATTTCTACTGACCATTCTTTTCATCTCCTTCCTCATGCCAGTTTCCATCTGGTTTTGAACATCAGTGCCCCAAGAGATATGTGTAACTTTGCCTCTCTGTTGTAAAATGCTGAAGTACTTACAGTGGTCACGATTAACTCCCATGACTTCTAAAAATATGCAATCTTGGACACTTACAGAGGAAGCCAAAAGATTAGTATAACATTATGTTATAAAAACAGTTCCTGCTCCAAGACAGTTCTGTGTATTTAGGCTGCAGTCATTACCATGACACAAACACACCCCAGGAAAGGGAGGTTGAGCTGGGACAGGCAGACTGGCGGCAGTGATGGTTTTCCCTATAAATCTCCAGGACAATCAGCGGTGCTCCCACATGTAACAGAAGGTAGCGCCTCCTTAACCTCATTGTTCAGAGGCCTTCAAGTTTCCTGGGAATATGAGTACCTTGGATGTGTATCTTAAGGGAGAGGTTCTCAAAGCACTGCACTTTGGTCCAGTTGATCCCCCAGGGCACAGTGAGGCATTCAGTGATGGCCTTCAATGGCAGCAGGCTTAGGCCAAAGTGTCTTTGACACTCACCCTTGGATTGTCGAGCTGTAACAAACTGGCCATAGGAAGGAATTTTAATTTTATGGATATAACTTTTCCTATCTCTTATGATGCACACATATGAGGCTACCAAGTCTTAATATCAAGAATTGGAGGTTTCCTCCACCAATGTACTTCGAAGTGTATTCTGTGACTCTGTCAGGCTCACCAACAATTAATAACAATAATAATTAATACTGTTTTCTGTTATTTGACATCTGTAAATCAGGTATGCTGGAAAAGTCTCTTGACCAAACTCCTAGTAGCTACTGTGAGGTGGAGACCAAGAATAGACTAATATACATTTCTGGAATATTTTCCCTTTGCCCTTTATAGTTGAAGGGCAAAGGAACAAACTAATGCTGTGACCGACCACTCCTAGTGATCCAAAGTCTTGTTAGATGGGGAGGAAAAGCTCTATATGTTAATTTGAAAGTTAGGGGGATGCTAGAGTACTTAAGAAGTAAGAAATATGTAATAAATAACACCCAATCTGAAGGGATGAGATGGCTGTAAAGATAAAACCCAAGTCTAGAAGACTTGAGTTAATATTTGGAAAAAAACCATACGTTTTAGAGATCTGTTGTGTAGCCTATTGAGCTTTAAGGCTTGGCATATTTGAAGTAGACAAATTATTTTTGTGGCAGTTCAAAGTTTCAGATTTTAATGATCCAGTAAGTGTGAAAGTCCCTAAGTTGAATATTTTTATGTGTGAACTCCTTGTCCAAATCCTCACAGCTGGTGGCTAAATTCTGCCTATCCCACCCCTTTCTGTTTGAGGGGGTTTTTGGGTTTTGGTTTGGGGTTTTTCTGTTTGGTTGATTTGGTTTGGGTTTTTTTTCAAAAAAAAGTGTGGTATTTTTTTCTAGCTCTGCATGAAGCAAGTTCATTCTGTGAGGTAATTTCTTGCTATGGTTGCTATAGTTGTCTTGAAGTTGAAATTTGCATCTGGGGTACACTTTAGAGCGTAGTTCTGGTCTCTCTCATAAAGAAATAGCCAAAGAAAATTAGCTGAGCAGAGCACTGAGTGGCTGCCCTTATAATGTTGAAAGAAATGCACTGTCTCCCATTGTTTCTGTATCCGTGAAAAGTGGCAGGGCCACACATTTGGGAGCCAAAAACCTGACCTCTTATCCCAGTTCTGTCACTCTTTTTGCTCTGTGTTTCCAGACACCTCATGCTTCAGTTGTCCCCGTTTTATATTAGCAAGAACATCAGTGCTGTGAAATGTGTTTGCAATAATGGGACAATGAGCACAGGTAGAACCATCAGGTGCCTCATCACCGAGTAGGTCATGTATTCCTTCATTCCGCAGCATTCCCAGGTGGAGACCATGAAGGATGCTGATCACAGTTGGGTGACTTGCGTCCCAGGGTTTTGGGTACTGGGTCCCTTGAGAGGCTGAGCTATTTGGAGCAATCTAAATGGCTTTTCTCTGCAGAGCAAGGTGCAAATACCTGCCTCTCCACAGCAGAGAGGCATTGGGAGGACTGTGGAGGAGGTTATGAATCTATTCCATGCACGGGCATCAGATTCCTTGTGCTTATGAGATAGGCCTTGGAAGTCCTTGGGGAGGTCACTGACCCTCTCTCTGTCCCAGAAAGACAGAGGGTTCCTGAGTCACACCCCCAAGGAGGAAGCAGGTGCCCTTTTGTTAGAGCAGGCTGCTTTTCCTCCAGACCTTGTAACGCTTTTTAAATTATTGATATCACTCAGAGGGGAGGACAGGGGGAAGCAGTTGCTTATTCCCAGCACAGCTGAGAGAAGAAAGGGAGCGTGTAATTGCTTGTGTTTCCAGCCCTCCTGGGCTGTAAGGTTTGCCCTTTGCATACTGTGGAATTTGATTTCTCCAGTGGTATGACCACAGGGTAGTTACTTCAATCTTTTTGTTGCTCAGGGATAAGCAAGATGGGAGAATTTACTCACTAAAAGGACAGATGCCTCCCACACCTGGGAAGGGTTGTATGTCTGACTGTCCCTGCTGAGGACAGAGACGGAGTGCAGCTGGGAAGGCACTCCTGTCCACAGAGCATGGGGCTTTGTGTGGCACTGGCCTCACCCCAGCAATTGTGAGCTGTCAGAGAGTCCCTGGCAGGTCAGCAAGCGGGAGCTGTGTCCCTCCTCCAAGATGTGGGGTGGCAACTTGGGCATTTCTGGAGTAGAGTCACCTGGGAGGCTGGAGACCTACCTGGAGGGCTATTGCAGCTCCCTGCCTTCACTTGCAGGTATCTGCTGCCCAAGGACCTGAATCACAAAAAGGATGGTGAGACCCAAGTCTGCTCCACTGAGCCAAGCATGAGCTTGCAGCTTCACTGAGCACAAGGACTGGGTGCTTCTAAAACTGAGATTGCTGACAAAAATCAGAATTTCTGCCTCAAATTACTTGGATTTGTATTTATTCTTTACTGTCTGTGGTGAATAAGTTTCATGGATCCTGATTTTAAATTAGGGCTAGAGACAAAAGTCTGACTTCAGGACTCTGCTCCAGAACAAGGCAAAGAAGAAATATTTACACTGGGAGAATGGGAAATAATTTTAACCTGAATACAACTTGCACCTAGAAAGCCAACTGTTACCTAGCAGATACAAAGAAAAACTAACACTGTTAGCTTTAAATAATGTACATTTCCAAGATGCCCAGCTGTTAATCATTAACACTGTAGCAGGTTGAAGCATAGAGACAGATGTTCCAAAAGCGGTTTTATTTTCTGAAATAAAGAGAATGAAGCTATGCATTAGACAAATTAAGAAGAAATTCAAATATTTGCACCCAGTTGAAACAAGATGCTGGAAAAACAGGCATGATAAAATTGCTGCAATTAAATGTAATTTAATTTATAATTCTGAAAGCATGCTTTTTCCAAGGGCAGGCTTTGAGTTTTCCTTGTGGAGTGTACGTATTGTTGTGATGTATGGATTTTCCTGACTTCTTATGGCATTTTAATCAACAGTCCAATGATGTGATAATATTCCTAAAGCAGAAAAATAAGTGACGTTTGTTTAGACATAATTAATGAAATATTTATGTTGCATGAGGCTGTGTGATAAAGCCTTGTTCTCTTAGTCCATTTGCTTCTGATTACATTTGTGATTTTTTTATATGACCAGACATTCTGACGCCAACTATTTTACACTGAGCAGATGTCATGTAGTAAAAATGGGTGCCAGATGCTACAAGCCACATAAGGGTAATTTGTTTAAGAGCTGGCTCAGACTTTGTGCATTCAATTACACTGTATAGTGAGCCTTATACAATCATTTGGGTAATATGGCTAACTTCAGATATACATTTTAATGAATGTTGAGTGCATTCAGAACAGCGAGCTACATGCGGGGTGCTCAAAGAATTAATTTATTTGTATGTAGTACCTAAAAAAAATATATATATATATATATATACACACAGGCAACTTTTGACAGGGATCAAAAATTTAATTAATGCTGTCAGCTGAATTTCCAAATTGCTCTAGGTGATGCTGATTAGAATTCAGGGCAGGTGCAAAGTGTCTGTTCAAGTTAAAGAACAGTATTTTTTGCTTCACTGACTATTTTGTTCCTGCATTTTAGGATGTGAACACCTACCTGTCAGAAAACAAGCTAGTGAGTATTCAACTTCGTCCTCTGATGATGAATTTGAATTCAAGCCTTCATTAACACACAAGGTAATCTTTGCTTGGGAACAAAAGGGTATTTCCTTAGTTGGACTGTATTTAAGATTCATCATGTGATTTTGATCTAAACCACACAGCAATTTCTCAAAGTGGGGATTGGGATGTTGGAGGTTACGTGTCATGGAGGGAAAATACATTAAAAGTCTTTAAGACAGATGAACACCAACATTTCTTTTTCCTCTTTGGGTCTTTAATTCCCCCAGGTTATACCAGTGTTGACAGAGGAGGTCTTAATTTGACAAGCAGGCATGTTTCACTGAAACCACTTTGAAGCTGCATTCTTAAGTGGCCTTAATATGTAGCCCAACAAGCAAACTGTTGAAAAAATTAAACCAAACAGATGCAGATTTCCTTTGGGGAAATAGAGCTTCGTTTGAGAAGTGCTACAGGCAGGTTGCCTGGAAAACACTCTGTTTATCCTAATCAGCACAAGTGTGTGAGCCACGAAGCCACACCCAGACCCTTTACACCAAAAGGGCCGACTGCCCACCTGGGTCCTGAGCCCTCCCATGGCGAGCAAGAGCCGTGGGGTTAAAGCACAGTGAACTCTGAGTACCCAGCTCTGGTGTGAGGGAACAGAGCTTTTGTTGACTGAATAGCTCATGGGAAATGTGTTTACCTCTTTACTGTGAAGGATATCTGTGAGTGGAACTAATAATATGAGGTGGCCTTTCGATTTGTTGTCTTTTGGCGGGGCGGGGGGGGGGTTGTGAAGAGGAAGGAAAACAAAGTACAGTACACAGAAAAGTCAGCCAAGCTGAAGTGAGACTTTGAATGGAAACCTAGTTGTGCAGCTCCAGAGGAACCGAAATGCCATGAGGAAGAAGCACAGCAATGTGTGACAGCGCTTGTCACCAGTGGCTCAGTGTCAGGATGCGCTGAGATGTCAGAAATCTTCTCTTGTTTTTCCTGTTATGGGAAGGACAGTCTATAGCAGGATAACGTTATGGTGAATTAAATAAGGTTTAAACAAAACAGAGAAAAGAAGAGAGACATGGGAGCCACCTGGATCGAAGCAACCCCCGACAGTCCAGGCGGGGAGAAGGCAGCTCTCCAGGCAGCTGCCAGAAATGGAGTGAACAAGCAGCTGTCGCACACGGACATTAGCAGCGATTCAGTTTTGATGCACATGCCCCACTCAGCATGTTTCTTTCAGCTGCCTCCTACCAGTTCTGGCTGCTATTTTGTCAGTGCCACCACTGGTACCTGGCAAAACTCGGTGGGAAAAATTTTAGTGGCTTTCTGACTGGTTAATTATTTAATTATCTTGTCTACGGTGCTCATATATTCTGTCTCCTCCAAAATAGGAACACCACAGCCTTGAAGCACTTCAGGTTAGCTTGGGTCAAAGGCAAGACAGAGCAATGGCAGGCAATTCCCTAACCAGCCCTGCAGCATTTGCTGCCCAGGTCTCCTGGCAGCAGCAACAGGTGCCTGGGGAAAGGCAAAACCCTCTGTAATGCAGTAGAGAAATGACACTGGGGAAGGTTTCATGGGGCTTCAGGTGGTGTCCTGTGATGGCTGGCTGTTTCAGCTGTGTCCCTCTTACTGTGTTACAAGAGATCCAAAGTGAATTTTTCTACTTAGCAGCTGTAGCAGTAGAAATGGGTTTGAGTTTCCTTAAACTGGTGCTTCCCTCACCCGGTGCCTGGCCACGTATGGTGGGATGTTGTATAGAGTCAGCTTTGTGATCCAAACATTTTTAAAGATAGACACGGTTCACACTCACTTAGGGTTGCATTAAGAGCTTGTAATGATTTGAAGTCGATGTAAGCAAATGCTTGTTTCATTTTGGTTAGGTTGCCCCAAGCACCCTGCAGTAGCTCACCTCACTTTGGGCTGGGGAAGAGGTTAGATGATCTCCAGAGGTTTGTCCCAACCTCAGCAGCTCTGTAATTCTGGGGAAGGTTTGAGGAAACCTGTAATTAGTGTACTTATGCTTTGATTACCTTTTCTTTTCTCTCTCTCTCTTTTGTAGGCAAAAAGAGCTCTCAGGAGGAGAAGGAAGCTGGAGAAGGAGACAAAGCAGTTGATTAAACAAGAGGAGCTGAAGAGGCTTCACAAAGCACAGGTGAAAATGTAGCTTACAGATGCCCCCTTTGTCTCCCAAGAGTGACTAGTGAGGATGGGGGTGCCCAAAGTGGGCTCTGCACCTCCCCTCACTCCTCACTGCTGCTCACTGCTTTTTGTGCTCAAGTTCCCCCAACCATCAGGAGCAGGAAGGTGTATGTGGCAGGGCCCTGCATCTCTCTCTGTGTGACAAATCCACATGCGCCCCAGGAGATCATCCTAATTTTGTAATTGTGTGTGAAGAACAATAGGGAATAGTGACTGGCTATAAGAGGAGAATGAACTGAAAAGAGAAAGGGAAATAACATCAACCCCATAGAACGTAAGAAACTCAGCTACTACCTCTATGTGCAGCAGGAGGATACAAAAATGTGGCAATGGCTTTTGTTCTCCCTCTGCCATAGCAATGGAAGTGAACTGATTTCTTTTTTAATGATGGAAAGTCACTTAATTTTGTACATTTTCTCTTCATAAAATACTGGGAAAGCTCTAGATTCTGCTGAAGTGTTGTTATTTCCATTTACAGTTTAAGATTTGTGAACGCACTTCTGCACAGTTTGGTCTCAGATGTGTTTTAATACAAAGTGGGAGCAACTATGTTGTAGTTTTTATCTGAGAATTGTAAATTATTTCAAGGTAAAATTAGATGCATACATGCCTTCTCTGACTTTACTGGTTTGGGGAAACAAGCAAGTTCAAACTTTTTGAGTCATCTCACGTGTTTGTTAGACTGTTGTTGAGGGTTTGGCTTGGAATGCCCTAACACAGCCTGAAATGGGAACTGCTGAACATACATCTTTGACATTTCAACCTTTTAAGGTGTTTCATGCCTATTAGCCCCACGACACCTCTGAAAAATCTTATTTAAAAAGGGATGGACAATGAATGTGGAAGTCCTTCCTGAAGTGCCACTGAATTATCACTTCTTAGCTGTTAGACCCTTTTCTTTCTAGGTCGAAAACTTGTGAAATATGAAAGCAAAACAAACAACAAAAACCCATGGACAGCAAAATAGCTAGCAGAGCTTTCTAGCTGTAAACCTTCAATATTTACATGAGCTTTATTCATGTAACATCACAGAATATGTGTCTCTGAATATGTAAGGTATTGACTTTTTACACCCTGTGAGACCCAGATGATCTCTATGATCTCTGATTTACAATAGGAGAGCTAAAGCTCAGAAAAACCGAGGTTCTTCTGGTACCTATCATACTTACCCACATAAAAATGCCATAGATACCTAGCGGAATTATTAAATTGCTTAGGCGCCTGGTACACTCAATGTGTTGGCAAGAGCCAGGACTCCTCTGAGACCTTTTCAAGCTGTTTCTCTAACCACTGAGACCATCTTTTGTCTCTGAATTCTGAAGTTATGTCTGTAGCTTTTATATCATTACAATTTTGCAGGCAGTCCAACGCCAACTAGAAGAGTTGGAGGAAAGACAAAGAGCTCTGGAGATTTCTGGTGTCGAACTGGAGAGAGAACTAAGAGGAGAAGCAGGTACACAGAGCACTTGTTTTTTGTTTGGCAGTGGTTTTTTTTACCTGTTTCAAAGCAGAGGGATTTAATGATTATCATGAAATAATTTGGTGTGAAATCTGAAAAGAAACAATAACTGGAAGGACAAAAATAATTGTTTAACCTTTTTCTTTGCGCTCTGTTAGCTCACACATCTTTACATTGAATGTTATGAATTTTTCATTGGGTATCACAGATTTGGAATTATTTACCTTGCTGTTGAACCTGAAGCTATATTTTGCCTCTTTTTTTTTTTTTTTTTTTTGAGTCCCATCCTGAGCTTAATTTCATCTTTTATAGGGAACCAGTGAGGTTTCCAGGAGCTGTATCTCAGTTACCAAGCCAGCAGCAGCCTGTGCCTAGTAACAGAGTCCTTAATGACTTCTCCTGGAGTGTGAAATGCCATTAATATGATTAGAGCCAGTGGCCATGCTATAGCAACAGCAGCATGCAGGCACAGAGACCTTAACAGTGCAGCTTTTCCCTCAATGGGCAGAAGATTACAGGGACGTCATCGTGGCCTCAACCAGAAGCAAGATTTTCCCTCTGATGAGCTGACAGTCCCAGCACCCAGGGCTGCAGCGTCCTGCCACTGGCCCAGCCTTGCCACTGCTCCCCAGCACACACGGGGTGAAGCTGGGGAGACCTTCCGGAGAGGGAAGGGACATCTGGGGGCTCCTGCCAGGCTCAAAATGAGGATGGGACTACACATGCCTGTAAGGAACTTCAGAGGGGGCTGTGGTTCTGTGCTGAAGGGACTCTGGTGAGCTGACAACCTGAGTGCAAACGTGTCTTTATTTACGTCTGTTTCAGAAAACTGAACCTTGTGCTTTCATGACAGGCAGTTGCACAACACAGAAAACCTAGATATGTTTTGGCACCTAATCTTGTTGTTGTCTTAGCCAGGCAACCCAGCCCAATTCCTACATGCTGGCCTTTTTAATGCCTGATTTCATAGCAGCTGTTGCCCCTAGTCTGACACTGATCAGTTCAGCAAGAGAGCATTTACCTAGCCTTTTATATTTATTTACTAATTTTCTAGAATTGATAGTGTCAGCCTATTTCAAATGTTATTTAAAAGGTTAGCATCTTTTTTCTTAAATGAAAGCATAACCTTTTAATAAACTCTCCCCCCCCTACTGCCCGTGAGAAAGTCTGCTGGGTTGTATAAAGGTGGCTGTTTTTTGGAAACCTCAAAAATACAGAAGGACAAGAAGGTTCTAGCTCTTGGGATAGACACTGAATACCAGGATAAATGGCCTAAGACCACCTCTTGTTTTTGCTGTTTTGACAATCGCATTTCGTAAAGAAGGCTGTCTGCCAAGAGATCGATGTTTCTCATTCTCTTACCATCCTTAGTAATTGGATTGCCCTCATTAAGGTGAAAGTACTATTTTTTTTTCCTCCCTGGTGATTGTTTCTGTGTAGGTGGCCAGTTACAAATAGGGCAGATACTGAGACGTAGGATGTTACTGTTTCTGAATAACTCTCCTGGTGCAAAAGCACGAAGCCATAAGTTTACCAAACAAAACGTGAGTGCTTTGCTACTTGTAATAGCATATGTGTAATGATGCAGGAATTGGTGAGTTTAATATTCTGTTCAACCTTCTTAAAAATAATGAGCGTTATTGTTTAATGAATGACCAGTGTTTATTAGGTTAAGTTGTATTTAAGCAGGTCTGCGCTTATGCAATTGAAGTGATTTAATAGGTATTATTAAGGCAATTAGAAAACGATCACAGTTCAGCAATAATATTGAGCTGCAAAGGTTGTGAATAACCAAATTTAGAGGCAGGCCTGCAAACACTAGTCTTCAGTGACATTTACGCAACTCTCCTCTAATAATTCTGTAAGCCAGGGATGAATGGCCCCTTTGTTAGGGGGAGTTATTCATTAGCTCCTCAACTGAATTAGAAGAGAACATGCGTGGGTGCGAAACAACTGCCATGAAGACTGATGAGCAAAATGAGGTTTTGATGATCTTCTGATTGTGGTGACAACAATTCATGCATTAAAAAAAAAGAAAAAAGAAATAATATCGGTCCTACAAATAATTTTTCATGCTCGTTATTCCCTTTATTCTGGTTCGAAATACCAAATAATAAATCACTGATGTACCGTTTCTTTGTTTTCCACTGACATTTGTGGAGGCTTATGGAGATCTTCTGCCTACAAGAAAACACAGAAATAAAAAGCTCAAAACATATTTTCCACTGAAATTAGCATAATGGATCAGTTGACTAAATAAATCGTGAAGAATGATGGTAAAGAAGAAAATCTACATTGAGAGAATGTTAAGAAATCTCTCCATGTTTTAGAAGGTGAACAAATATTTGCACATGTTGTAGCTAGTTTTTGATTTCATAAGGGAAATATCCAAGGTTTCTTGGAATTTTCAATGGAGTCAAAAGAAATCTAGGGAAAACCTGTAGGAATAGGGAATATGAGGTTTAACTGTTCCTAAAAGGGTGCAAACTGGCCAAGCCCCCTTTACTGTGTCATGACTATGTGGAGGGACGTCAATCTGGAGAACAGAAGGTTCAGGTTTTGAGAACAGTGTTCAGGAAGCACTCCTCTGCAGCCTGTCATTCCCTCAAAAGGGATGGAAATAGAAATACTTATGATGTCATTAGAAAAATGTTTGACTTTCAAATGGATCTCAGTTAAAGGAGGCTTGGGTAAACCAGGAGGAAAGGTTTGCTTTAGCAATGCTGTAAGGAAAAGACAATGTGGCTTGAAAAATACACTCACAAGTTGTTTTCCCTCTAAGATGTGTTGCATTGCATTACACAGAATACTTCATGGGCTTGTTCTGCCCTTAGAAAGCATCAAGCACTCCATCACACTTAAAAAACTATTAACATTGTTAGTAACAAACATTTGAAAAGCTCAGGGGAAGAATGCCATTGGGAACACTTAGAGGGCATTCTGTGGGATGGAGGAGGTGGAAAAAAAATAGGACTATTTTTATTTCAACTTGCACTGAGGATTTTGTTAAAATGAGTGGTTTTTTTTTTCCAAAGTGCATTATCTTTACTTACCTCAATCAACCCACAATACATAGTCTTTTATTAGAGATACAGAGATTTTAAAGTATAAGGTGGAAAAGTTAAAAGAAGGAATATTTTTGCCTAAATAAAAAACCAAAAAGGATATAGTAACCCTCTCCCTCTGTGCAGGACTTATGCATACCTGTAATTGCAATGTCTTTACTGACAGTAAGATAGACCAAATTTTGATGATAACTTCTTATGGTGGCATACAAAGACCTAAGGCTCTTTTAGCTAATGCTGCATCTTGCATTGGATTTGTGAGAAACTGGAGTGTTCCAGCAAGGACCACTCCAGTAGCCACTGGGAAGACACTTATCACCACTTGCTGACCTGGAAGATCCCACAGGAAAACCTCTATTACTTCCAAGTTTTAATGGAATCAGGCAGAAATTGAAGTAAGCTTGCTCTGCCCTCTCCTGCTGTTTTATCCTCCTGTTCCGTGGTGATTTCCAATTGGGGTCAAGTCCTGATGGGAAACTGCAGAACTGCACCCAAGCCACTACGACTCTTGTCCTTGGCATGGGCGCCCGTGTAATTCCTCTGCCACACTGGCAGGAAGTGACCTGTGTTTCCTGGGATAATGGTGGCTGGTGAAAGCACACAAATGGGCTGGTGATCCCAAACACCCAACAATCTCCCTCATTCTCAGGAAGATTGCTAAAGGGCTGCACTGGGTGCAGATCATTACTGTCCAAAGGAGCTGGGCTTCAAACTGCTGTTCTCTGGCTTTGACATAAAGTGAGGGACAGCTGAAGCTGTAGAGACGACAGGGTAATTCCTGGGGCCAAGAACAAAGCACATGTCAAAACTATGACAGAAAGGCATCAGAAACGCTGCTGACCTGTCCAGGGCACTGGTGTCTCTCCCCTTGGTAACCTAGTTTAATGGTGCTCTTGTAATTGGTGTCTCTGGAGCTTGAACCTGACACCTTTGGGTTTAAATTTCAGTGCTCTCGGTCATCTGAATTAAAGGTGCAGTCCTCTTAAAGGAGAAATCACATAAATTTCCCACCACCAGAAAACAGACAAGCTGGATTATGGGGATTTTATGCTTGGTTATCTAGCAGTGTGATGTAAGGACTGAGGAGCAGAGACCTGTGTTCCCCTGCCTGCTGGTGGCACCTCCTTTTGGTTTGTCGCAGGTCTGACTGTCCCTGCCTCTAACATGCGTGGTGAGGTCTGTAAATACCACATGCTGGGGCAGGAGCACAGGCTGGCTGTTGGTTTTATGCCTCTGAAGGTGCCAGTGTGTCACCTAAATTGTTGCCTCAGCCTGGACTAGTGTAAGGTATTTTCTTCCTACAAGTGATCGCTATTTTGTGGCACCAGGGAGTGGATGTGCAAAGCAGACGTGGGAGGTGTGTTGACAGTGCCATCACTGTTGCTGTAATTCTGCATCTAAGGGTGATGGGGTGGTTTTGCTTTGTGGAGAAAATGAATGGAAAATGTGAAGTGATGAGGATATTAAAAAGGGCAATGAGAAAAAGAAATACATGTGCTCTGATTTGCCATTTGAAAACTCCCAGGGGTTTTTCATTGCCAAAGAGTTTTGTACAGATGGTATTTTAGGAGTAGTAAAGGCCCTCACTTGGTGAGAGAGATCCATCCTCCATCCTCCTTTGCAATGCAGAGTCAAGCTGTGAACTCTTTGGGAGAAAGACCATCTCATGTTTTGTGTCTCTATACTGTCTACCAGTGATGCCCTGGCCCAAAGTGTTATAAAACCACCCAATAATCATAGATTTCTCATTCAAAGCAGATACAGATTTAGAGGCCAGTTGACAAATTAAAGGAAATTTCCTGATGTCCACTGGAAGCAGGGACTAAGTTGATACTTGCCAGCATGTGCATCCTGAAGTCTGATTGTGTTAATGGGATATGGAATATCCACTTAGACATGTAGTTCAGCTCTGAAACCCAGTTTCAACAGAGAAACTGTCTTATCAAAGGCAAAACTAAGAGAAAAATAAAGTGCCCACTAAAAAGAAAGTCTATGTGATTATTTGAAAGGAAAATCTTTAAACTAAAAGTGTTTTAAAATCTGGTGCCTCTTTATCTGTAATAAGCCACAACATTCAAACAAAGGTAGACAAAACTGTTGTGCCCAGTCGTTATTGATATAAGTTGCATACAGCAAAACCATCTCCATTTGAGCTCACATTGGCTTACACAAGACTATTGAAAGGGAACTTAACTGGCAAAAGCATTGGAAAGAAAGCTGGTAATGCACTCTAAACTCTCCTATTTTTTACAGATTCAGGCACAAAGGATGAAACTCAGATGCTACATGAGTGGTTTGAGCTGGTCCTGGAGAAGAATAAGTTAATGCGTTATGAGTCTGAGCTCCTGATTATGTAAGTAAAGACAAGCATTAGTATTAAAGATGGGGAGGGGAGAGGGGTAGAAGTGTACTCACTATACACCTGAACACCTTGATGTGTGCTGCAGTTTGAGACAGTTCTGGAATAAACATACCCAGAGTAGCTACAATCTGTTCTGAACACAGATTTGTAGTTGAGCCCTCCTCATCCTTCCCTCTTGCAGTGGTTCAATTATTTCAATCCTATATGATGCTCTGAACCAACACAGCACATAGATGCCTTTACATCACGTGGGTTTAATGCTGGGGCGCTTTCTCCTGTGGAAGAAAAGTAGTCTGACAAGTTAATCTCAGTTTTTACTGGACGTAGGAAAAAAGATCTAGGAATTCACTACAGCAGTGAAACAAGCAGATAAATCCTGACTCAGATGCCACTGTTGTGGTTGATGGAAACAATATTTGCTGTAGCTCCCTCGCTTCACCTTCTTGTAAACACACCCAAGAGACAGGCGGAGGTGACTCTCAGCTATTTTCTCTGCTATTTGTGGGCAGTGTGGGAAGGCAATGAGAGCTGCAGCAATCCTTGCTCAGCCCTGGATTTCACACCAGTGTGGGCTGCTTGTTGCTATTTATCAGCTTCTCCCCATCTGTGCTGATGCTGCCAGGGGCCAAACCTTTTCTTGCCCCTTCAGTTGCCATTGGGTGTTTCGGTAGCAAGGCTTCCTGCTCAGGCTGCCTGCAAAGCAGAGTTAAAAAGGCAAAAGCAGGCAGCTTTCACCCCCACAGGACACAAAAAGTTGTTGTTTGGATGCATTCACGTGTGTTAATTCCTTTGCCTCAGGACCTGTTCCTGTGCAGAGGGCCTGGCAGGGCCCTTAGTGCGTGGGAGTGTTCAGCCCTATCCAGAATTACACCGTGGGTGCCACCAACAAAGCACAGATGGTTAAAAGCCTTGAGGGTTGCGCTCTATGAGGGAGCTGAATCTGATACACGATGCAAAAGGTGGTAGTGGTACTTCTGCTGCGGAGATACTGGCATAGGCAAACCTTTTAGACTTCCCATGAGGAGAAAATACAGGATAAACAGAACACAAAATCTCTTGGTTGAAATAACGTATGTGTCTGTATTGAAAAAAAGCTTATTCTTTAACATACTTTTTGCTGTACCTAGCGCCCAAGAGCTAGAACTGGAGGACCACCAAAGCAGGTTGGAACAAAAGCTGAGGGAGAAAATGGCCATTGATGGTAAGTCAAAGGGGACGGTGTTCTCCAGTCCACAGTGACAGACCGTGCCTGTGTGCATCCCTCTTTGCTCCAGAAAGGACCAGGATGGCTGAGGCTCCTGTGCTCTCTGCCAGTGCAGCTCAGCCAGCAAAATGCGACTTGTGAGATCTTCTCATCTGACTCCTAGTGAAGACAGCTGAGCTGACCTGCCCAGCTCTGCACTGAACTGGATCAGAAGCACTGCACGTGTAATTATGCTAATTGTGCTCTCCAGGCATTAATGTCCAGCTAACATGCAATGATGGGCAGCAATGGAAAGTAACTTCTTCAGCCACCTGAAGTACTGCTTTTAGGTACTTGGGATGACAGTTTGGGCTTGTCCTTTCATTTGGTCTTTGAAAAAGGAGCATGGGGAGGAGGAATCAAGAGGCAAGAGGGGTTCCAGAGCACTGAATACTCCAAAATATCCTGTTGTGTTTAGGCATGTGGATTATAAGTGAAGGCAGTTTTCAATACATTTTCTGAAAAATACTTACTATTTTCTTACAGGTACTACATTTCATTTTGGGCTTTTTGCCTTATAAACTAAATTTAAACTCCATCTTAATTGTTTTTATAAACCAACAGTGCTTTTCCTATCCCTTCCAGTCCAAATTTTGTTAAAAGGTCTACTCTAGAGATTAGGAGCCTTAATGGTCAACTTCAAATGGCCTAAATGCAGGACAAAATTTCCCTGAACTATAACTTGAAAAGTATTAACTGCTATTGCCTTCATTTGTCATTGACTATAATGGTCATTCAAGCTGTGCTCTAACAGTTAAAATGCAAACAGATTTTAATCTATTTTTTATGATCTTTTAGACAGCCTTAAAGATGAGGTGGATCTGAATGAGGAGGATGAAATTTTTACTGAGATGATGAAAGTGGTTGAAGAAAGAGACAAACTTGTGTGTACCTTAGAGGAGCAGAGAGTGAAAGAAAAAGCAGAAGACCAGCACTTTGAAAGCCTTATTTTATCCAGAGGCTACCAGCTGAGCAGGATTTAAACAGCCACATGCAAATAAACATCATTTCAGCAACATTCCCAATCATAGAGATGCAGTCTTCTGAAAAATGAAGGAATTCAAATTTAAAATCAGCTTATTTGGGAAACATGTCGTTCTGTTATCAGAAGCTTTTAAGCAGTTCTTTTGCTCATACTGGAGTGAGTCATTTCACTGGCAGCTTAAAGGATCACTGGAATACAGATTTGGACTGAATTTGCCTGTCTGATGGGCATCAGGGTCTGTGAAAGGGAAATCAGAGCTCTATTATTCTCTTGGAATTTTATTTTCATGCTGAAAGTAGAGTTTCTGAGGAACATGATGACATCACTTTGTATTTTTGAGACAGCATTACTGTCCATCTGTCTGTCTGAATCTGTGTGTGGTTTTGTTAATATTTTGGCACAGCCAAGCCATGGTCAACTATGCAAAAGTCAGAAAACAAGCATCTCATATAAAAATAGGATTAGTTTTTATTTCTGGTGGAGGAAGAGTCATTTGACTAATGACTACATGTAAGCACTCACTAAAACTACTGTAAATGCAATGTCAGAAATTAATTTTTCAGGTATTTGTAAGTTTTATTGCACTGTGTGTTTTTGAACAAGGAGTTAAAGCGATATTAAATCCCTACATTTTGTAAAATGGTAAGGGATTATCAAAGGGGTGACTACCCTTCAAGCTGTTACATGCTCAAAAAAGTTTCTGTATGTCAGAGATTAAGGTTTTTAAAATACAATAAAAGATCATTTAAAAATAGTTGTCCAGACCCAACTGATATTTATAGGGTAGCCTTAATATGGTAGACTTTACAATTGCTTGATAAAACACATCACAAGTTGTACTGTAGGGAGCGATGGCTGGTATAGCAGTTAAAGATCTCCCTGAGAATAATTCCTGAAAAGGACTGCAAAAAATGTTGAATTTGTAATGCCAACATTTGATAGAAAATGTTGTGGCTGTATTTAAACTGCATTTATCTTCCTACTTAAGAATATATGCATATTTTTAGCTTAAAGGAACTATCTCCTATCTTTTTTGTACATGCACTTGTAGATATTGGCAAAACAGTTGTGCAGCAATTCTCCTGATTTAGGTACTTTCTTAAATCTGAGGTAATTCTGCAATTTAAGATTGGTAGTATTCCCAACTAGATTTCCAAACTGGAAAAAAACACCAAAACAAAACAAACAAAAAACAGAAACTGAAAGACTGTTTATTTTTGAATATGATTTTACCTCATGCTCTGAGGAGATTCGATGTTCTCATTATTTCATGAATGGTGCTAACGTGCAGCATTTGCCTACTGTACAGCCAAAGATAGAAGCATTCCTGTCACAAAAGCTTTAAACTAAAAAACCTCTTGGTAAGTACTTGTAGGGTAACAGACACACTGGATCCTGTCACAATAACTTATGAATTATCTTCAGGTTTGTTTCTTTTTTTTTTTTTGTATTAAAGAAATTCGAAACACTCATTCTAAATATAAAAGCAAGTTTTTACTATTGGCCACAGATAAATAATATACCTCTGTTTGTGCAAGGACTATGCTGTTGTTCTGCACTATTTATGTATTCATATTTATTTTTTAGACTGTTTAAAGAGGATAAGTGCCTGGTTACATTTTACAGTTTGGATGTTGCCTCTGATTTTGGTTGAAAAATGTGTATTTCTAACAGCTGTGTGTAGGAAAAGCTGTGCATTGTAGAGTAGACAGCCCTATCAATTTGGTAAATAATTAGCAATAAAATATGAATTAAGATTTTAAACAAGGTTCTCAGTTACCACAACTTGAAGGGATACCCTCAAAACATAGCAGGCAGGGCTTTAACAGTATCATTTGTCTTCCATCACAGTGGAAAGACAGAGGAGAATCCTTGAATGTGTTCCAAAATTACCATCTTTGTCAATCATAGGCTAAGCATGCCTGTTCTTCAGATGACATTTTTATTGAGATGAGTTGCAGTGATTGATTTTTTTAAACTAAGTCTATTATTCAAGATTGATACAAAGTAGGAGAGGCAGAGCAGCAATAAATATTTGGGTTTTCTCTGTTGAAATCTGCTGATATTTCCAGTTAGGTGCTGAAAATTTCTGGGTTTTACCACTGTTGCTAGAAGCCTCATGTAATCCTGTAGAACAAGATGGTCTAGAACATCTATCATGGTTTTCTGAAGAAAAATAGTCATAATATTTTCAAGGTATTTTTAAAAGTGAGATTTCAGTTTACAGGAGATACCTGTCCCGTTATAAAACCAAATACGAAAGGGTGCTTTCCCTTTAGCTCCAAAGTTTTGCATTCCTTAGAGTATTAGAGACAACAGAAGCTGAGGGCCATCAGCACTTTAGGGGCTTCAAAAATATTCTTTGCTAAAAAAATACTTTTTCTGGATGCCATGTGGTTGTAGTACATGCTCCACCCAAAACTACGTGTCTGCTCTTGGGTGGAAAAACCTGTCAGGCTACTGTAACCCTGCCTGATATTAAGTACCTCACAAGATTAGAACCAAAAATAAACTGTGCAAGTGATTTGGAAAATCATAAACTCGTAATTGAGTCATTTAAAGCAGGCCTTTGTGTATTGTGAGAGTAGAGAAGGAGGTAAAAAAAAAAGGGAAGCTATGTGCACTGTTCACAGGTCAATTTGATATGGTTGGCTTGTATTAGAAATGTATTTAAACACTGGTTTGGTTATGAGTCTTCTTGCTGCTCAATCTTTTCTGTGAATTGGCTCACTAATTTATGATAGATTTGTTCATTTTTAAGTTCTTGGCACTGTCATTTTGGGGCATGATGTGATGTGCTGGAATGTATTGAGTGTGTCTAAACGAACTGAATGTGAGCAATTTTCTATTTGAAAAAATAAAATTCTATCTCACTCTTTGAAGTCTCAAAATCATTTCCAATTTCTCTCCACTGATACCTACAGTGTAATAATGTGTGATGAGGGAAGATCTATAGGTAAAAAATTGTATCAGTTTCTTAATTCATCTACTGGTAAGTAATTTGCACTTTCTTGCAGTGCACAGATTCATTTTGTAGTTTATAAATAAGGACAGTCTGACACAAGTTAGTGGGCATTCAACTCTAACACAGGAGTTTACAAACCCCATGAGATTAACAACTTCCACACATGTCACATAGGAATTCACCAGCTAATTTCCTTAGGTAATTATATAAATTATATAATTATATAAAAATTATAGCAGCTTCTTGCAGACTCGAAAGGAAAGTGTCTCTGAATTGATTAAATGGTGATGAAAACCTTAACTGTAATTTTTCAAATTCCACTAATTTTACCTCTATCAGGTCATCTCATTTTGTTATTTTCTACCAGTGGGAGAGCCTTACAGAGCAAGACAATGTGCTGCTCAAAGGAGAGAAGTGGATAAGCAAGACTTGGGCTTATGTTAGTGCCAGCACCGTTGTCCTCTGCTTAATGACTCTGAACTGATTGATAGTTCTCTCCTCTTCAGAGGACAGATGGACAGCTGCTTCTTTTCACAGGTCAAGGTAATTTCTAACATCTTTGAAATTTCCCATCTCCTATCCTTTCCCTTCCATCTTGTGTGCCTCAGAGGTGGTGACTTCTCTTGTAATACCACATATAAGTTCTCAGGACTGTGTATAGGAATTAACCTGCCTGCTGGGTTTACTGGAAGTAATACATCAAACACTTATCCATGTCGAAAGCCTTGCAGACACATTGGCTCCTCAGCCAGCTGTCAATAGCTGGAGGACTTTTCTGGCCCAGGAGCGGGATAGAAATTCTCTCACAGGAATTACTGAGCTTCTCCTTATCACAGCACACACCCTCTCCTTGTCCTTTCTTTGAAAGATCAGGGGTCTAAAGAATCACAGTTGGTGCTTAGGGACATGGGTTAGTGGTGGACTTGGCAGTGCTGGGTTAATGGTTGGACTCTGATCTTAAAGGTCCTTTTGAACCTAAACAATTCTGTGATTCTATACGAAGTTTGAGAAAAGGATTTTGTAAACTGCTATTTGAATCAAGACCAATCCATTTGCCCCAAGGTGAAGGGACACTTCACTGATTTTTAGTGTATTTGGCTGGGTTTCTCTGGGCACAGGAAACAAATCTAGAGGTTTTGTGCTATGTAACTTCTGCTCTTCTAGCCCAATGCATATCTGATTTCAACTAAGATTTTTGCATTAGTTTAATAGTCTTTTTTTTTTTTTTTCAGAAAGATATATTCTGTTTTCTTTCTTGCTTGAGCAAGTAACAGGATGTGGCTTAGAAGACTGGAGATTCTACACATGTTTTGAGACTTTGCTACTGTTAAGATTTAAAGCTGTCCCTGCTGGGTTTTGCATGGACCAAACATTTTGGCATCATTTAGCACAATGGGTTTGCCATGTTAGCATGCAAATACTATCCCTACAGTTTTCATGGCAGCCACATCTCATGAACCTAGATAATGGCAAATATTTCTTCATGAGCAAGGTATTTGCTGGATTTCACCTAAATCTCTTTGCCTGATATTTATGAACAAATTGTGGTTTCTTCTTGTTGCTTCTAAAGAACTACAAAAAGAAACCTGATGGCCCTCCACATCAGCAATGTGTTTGCTGGAGTATTCATATAACACAGCTGTGGTTAGGGTGCAGGACTCTCACCGCTGCGACCCGGGTTCGATTCCCAGCCCCCCGGGCAGATGGAGCTCGTCAGCCCTGTAAGGCAATCCATCTAAGAGAAGGTCACTCTGAACAAACCTACGTTCTGAGATCCTCACTGCCACTGTCCAAGCTTGCTCGGCCCCGGCAGATGAACCTCAGGATTAAAGGGTGGGCTCAGTTCAGCGCACGCTGTGTCTCACCTAAAAAATCCACTGCGCAGGCTCGAAGGGTTAATGACCTTTCCCAAATCTTCGCTCGCGAAGACTGGCCATTATAGGAACCAGTCACAAAATTACAGGCCCAAGTGAAGGACACAAGTAAAGCTTATTATGAAAAAGGTTGTAATTTTTTTTTTTCTAAAACTGTCTCAAGAAGGACAGTTGTAAGTGCAAGTAAACTTACGCAAGTTTTTTTAATTAACTGATCGAACAACATGTTACCAGAAGAATTAAATAGGATGATGTTCTTATTTTGCCAAAAAAGCTTAAAACCCACTTCCTTTCCATTGAAACTTTCAAATTATTAATCTCTGTGACTGTATGCAACATGTTATCTTTTGTCTTTCATGTACTTTTTTCCTCATCACATCTTAGTCTGTCTTTTTTGCTCCTTGATTTAAAACAAAAAATACATTGTACTTTTTAAGAATCTGGTCAGAAATACTCTGTTACTTTTATGAAACTATGTTATTTTGTTATATTACTTAAAGAGAAGATTCTTATCTCAAAGAAGTTAGAAGTTGAGTAGAAAACATAGCTCTCTTTTAAGCATGAGCACGTGCTCAATTTTAAATTCAGTCTGTGAGCTGGAAACAAATTTATCCTCAAGTGTGAGTTTTAGATGATGGTGGCAATGAAAATTTGGAGCTCTTCTATCCCGACACTGATGCTTTCTGCTTTTACAATGTAGTCACATTGAGATGATCAGTCAACCCTGGGCCTGTCTTGCAGAGTCTGAAGTCACATGCAGCAAAGTCCTTTGGGATGTGTAAGCTTTCGTGTGTGGGTATGGAATACAGATGTGGAAGTACAATTGCCATCCAGGTGTGGCTGTGCCTCAGCCTGCTCCCTGTGCTGCCTCTCTCAGCACTGTGCAGAGGTGGCCACTGCCCACAGCCACGTGAAGAAGAGTGGAACTGCCTGGTGAAACCAAAAACACATTCCTACAGGGCAGGGCTGGAGGCAGCTCCTGCTTCCCAGCCCCCCGGGGTGCCAGCGTTGCCCACAGTGTTTCCTCACCACACCGGAGGGAGTGCCTGGCATATCTTCTTCATGGACGCGTGCAGGAGCTCTTGTCTCCAGGTATTTTGGGGCACTCTCAGGAAAATCCCAGTCAAGAAATAGATATCAAACATCTGCAAAGTAACTGGTATGGAAACACCTTATTTTCTAAGCGGGTTCCTTTACCGTGCCATTAACTATCAGGGTGGGGTGGGCACGTTCATTAGTTCACCCCACAGAGTTGGCAGGTCAGCAGAAGGCTGACTGCAAATTTTTAGGAAAATAAAAAAGGGTAGACGTTGATCTAGTAAACTTCTCCTCTTCCTGAAGTCAGCAAAGGGTGTTACTGTAGGCAATCATGGCAGTAGCAGTAAGTTGATAAAGCGCTTTTAAATATTCTACTTCCATTAACTTTGCATGATCAAACGGCCAAAAGGCTAGAGCAGAGGTACATCTAGGAGAAAAGTGTTAGGAGAACACTGTAAGATAAGTGAATGATATTTTACAGCCTTAACCAGCTGGGCTGCTCTTTCTTACCAGCCTAGGCTGTAGTTGGGATATTACCCACCCTGCCTCTTCCATCCCATTCAGAAAGTAAACCCCTGCTCCTGATTGTTCTGAGTTTTGTAATAAAAGAAATAAAAACCAGCTGTGCGTGGACAGATATGAAGGTGAATAAGAATTATTTGAAGTATGGGGGGGGAGGGGATTTAGCCTTCTTTTATTGCCTGGCAAAAGTACATATGTGATCAGGATACAATTAATTTGATCTAATGTTTGGCTCATCTGTATGAACAAGGCGCTGACAGGGAGCATGGAGAGAGCTCTCATGGTCTGCTCTGGATTTTATATGCCAGGTGCAGCAGGGCCAGCCTGAACAGCAGCCTGCTGACTGCTGTGTCCTGGGCTGGGATCATGGAGCGTGATCGTGAAGGTATTCAATTGTCAAATATAAAGCAGAGAAAAACTCATTCCTGTATCTGCCATAACTTAGACACTGTGCATATCTATAAGGCCTTTGTGCTGAATGCAATATTAATTTAAGGCCATATGTCCATATATATTCCCAGATAAAAAGAAAAAAAAGGTAGCATATGCAGTTCTAAACTTAAGATACGGGGGAAAAAAATGTTGTAACTATCCTCAAAGAGAAACATCACAATTGGAAAAAACACTGCAATAGTGTTATACACAAAGAACTACAAATAAATCCTGAAAGGAACCCATTAAAAAAACAAACAAACAACCAAAACAAAACAGTAAAATTAAATCTGCCTGTTGCTTTCACATTATTACATAAAGCCCACTGTATTTCTTTTTCTAAATCTGACAAAGTTGATTTTAAACACAGTAAATTTCATTTAATTTTTTTCCCCTTGTGATGTGAAACTCCCATAGTTCATGAAGCTATTAAGTAAGTAATATTGTATTTACATAAGCTGAGTGTAGTGAAATAGGAAAGATGCTGGGTCTTTTCAGCTACTTTGTGGGAGACTTGGCAAACACATGTTAAATTCTGACTACCCTGTGCTGCACAACCCAGCACCCATTACTGTTCATGAGGTATCTGGCTTGTTCTTTCTGTCTTCAGAGGTACAAAGGCAAGCACACTTGTGCTTGCCAAAATGCTCTCTCTTCTGCTGTGCCTACAAAATATTGACATCTATGTATAGTTGGGCTCCAAATGGAGATTTAGTTGGGTCATTGCTCTGTTTGTAAATGCCAGAGATTCACTGGCATATAAAAAAGGGTTTAATGTGTTTATTTCTCCTTCTTTTGAAATCACCTTTTATTATGTTCTTAAAAATTATTCAGAACTGTTTATCTCTTAATCTATACACTGTGTGAGCAGCACTTCTGTAAAAAGAGAGTAATGTGTGAAATTCAGACCTAAATTCTATAGACAGCAGTTCTGAGACACAATAGGTGCTGTGAACCAGACAGAAAATGTAAGGAAAGGACTGTGGTAATGGCTTGGGCTCACTCCTGCTTGTAACTGATGGCCGTATGGATGAATAAAGTTTTTCTCCAG